GCTGAAGGGAAATCTGCTCTAACACCTGGAGCAACTCCTCTCTTCCTACTTCACTGACATCGTTGTTGGGGAAGGTTCTTGTTCCTTCTCCCAGAAGCCTCCCCTGGTCCCATCTCTCTCTGGTACCAAAGCCTTGCCACACAAACCTAGTGGACCATGTCAGTAGTCCGTTTTCTGCATATGATGACACTAGTGAGGACAAAATTTATTTCTGTGAGCCAATCTGCTCCACAAATTTGTACAATTTATGTCAAACCAGTGAAACTGAATAAACTGTGGAGTTAGTAAGTGCCTCAGACACACATGTGGGGTTTTACATCTAGACCTTAGGAAAAGGGTGCAACTGGAATGGTTTAGAGTGGTTACCCTTTTCAAGCTTCTGTTTGAATGCAATATTCTGGAAAGTATTCTGGAAAAATTATCTATCTGCAGCTGTAAGGGAAAAAAGCTCCTTTAGGTTTAATCCCAATAGCTAAAGCTTGAACAAGAAAGTCCTGGCTATTTGCAGTCTTACGGTAAACTGAATAATGAGATTCTGTTCCCTAGAAAAGATACTAAACAGAAGACACTTGCCCATGAGATGCATTTTAAGAGCTTAAGCCTGGAGACTTCTCAGATCAAGAAAAACACAGAAATGTACATGAAAAATAGAAGGATCTAAACTCAGATCTGCAGAGATGAAAACAGAACAAAACAAAAGAAAAAACAGGACATATCAACCTTAACTGTTTCACAGAAGTTTACGACATAAAAAGGAATTAACCAACGTCCCTTTAATGTTCCCATGTCCTGTCTCCCAGTGAAGCTTTGTCAGCCTTGGAAGAGGAGATATCTTAATTGTTTTAGCCTAGATTTAGCCAGTTGCATTGAATCAGAGACGCTTAGAAACAAAAATATAACTGTGGTATATTTTGAGTTAAGGCATTCAACATTTAATAATTTGAACATGCAATAGGGAAGGTTCAAAAAAAATATATAAAAAGTGAGCAGAGAGGTCTGAAGGTTTGTTTGTTTTTGTTTTTTTTTCATCTAATGAAAAGAGTAGAATCCATTCTCATGCCCAGTGGCAGTGACTGCAAAATTTCCCAAAACTGGAAATGTCTACAGTCCAGTTGAAATTACATTTAACAAACACATTCACACAACCTGGAATGCAATCTACAAGTTTGTAAAGGGAAGAAAATTTGACCCAGTGCAAATTATTCTAACACTGTACGAGCTAATATTCTTCCTCTTCCTTCAGTCCCTTATGGCTTGACATAAAGTCCCATATAAACCAGTAGTCACATGGCCCTCATTTGGAATTAGGTTTACTCTTACAGTAGTTTCTTTTTTATCTCTGAATTTCTATTTTTTATGTTAAATAAGAGAAATATCCTTTTCTCATTATCATTCATCATGGATAGAATGGGCAAAAAGGCCATCACAATCTATTAAATTAAAATGCTCATCTCAAGAACAGATGCCATGACTTATGGAGGTTTCTGAAGCTAAGCAAATGCACATCTGACCACATGGGCTTTGCAGCGCTTTATTTATGATGGTTTGGTTTGCAGCATTCTCATGACTGCAGGGCAACAGCATGCTAAAGCCAGTTCTTGAGAAAACCCTTTCACTTTGGTATTTCTTAGGTCACCTGCCAAGGTAAGAATTATTGCATTGGGTCTGACTGGGAGGGAGTCAGCTTTCCCCATGGCAGCCCTCACAGCCTGAGCTGTGCATGGGTTGCTACAAAGGTGTTGATGTCACACCAGTGTTTTGGCTACTGCTGGGCAGAGCTGGCACAGCATCAATGTTGTCTCTCCAACATTCCACTCCCCATCAGTATGGTGGGGGTGTGCAGATCTTGGGAGGAGACATAGCTGGGACAGCTGACCCAAACTGACCAAAGGGATGTTCCAAACCACATGATGTCTGCTGAGCAATGAAAGCTAAGAAAAAGGAGGAGAAAGGAGAACATTCATTATTATGACAGAAGGAGAGAAAAAAATCTTTTGGTTTCCTTCGCTTCTGCACATGGCTCTAGGGTTTGCTTCAGTAAACTGACTGTCTTTACCCACAAATTTCCTCGATCCCACCCTGCCCAGTTAAGGAGAGAAGTGATAGAGTGGCTTGCTGGGCACCTGGCTTCCAATCAAAGTCAACTCACCACAATTACATTGTGAAAAAAAAAAAAACAAAACAAAACCACAAAACCTCCAAGCAAACAAACAAAAACCCACACCCAATTAAAACAAACAAACAAACAAACAACCCCCCTCAAAAAAAAACCAACCAAAACCCCACCCACCCACTCACCAACAAACAAACAAAAAAAGAAAATAAAAGAAAAGAAAAAAAAAACAAACTATAATTATTCAACAGAGATAGGTAGAAAATGGTATCCAGCTAAGGAACAAATTTGGGAAGGCAATAAGTTTTTCCTAATCACAACAGAACAAGATTTTTCCATGGAGACTAAAAGAAAAAATGGGAGTGCAGAGTAAGCCTTTGCATATCTGTTCTTACAATAGATTTGTCCAGAGGATAATGAAAAGTGTGCATCACTCTTGAAAGAAGCTTCTCTCTTGTGTGATGTACAGAGATGTACATAGATTAACCTATGAAACTTATATTTGAATCAGCTATTCAAATGTCTATGATGTGACTGCCTACCAGAGAGGCAGAGGTTGGGGTCAGTTTGTTTGCCAAAAGCATGTACTGACCCAATGTTTTGGATAGCAGCCTCAGGCCAAATATTCTCTCAGCCCTGGTAGTTCTTCTGCACCCGTCGCTCTAGGCTTGCATTCTTTTAATATTTATAAAAAACAGCTTTGACAAGAAAGCTTGAGGGAAGCTGAGGGCAGCATGTTAATCAGGAACACTGAATCGTGGTTTCCTAAGAGGTTAATGATTGCAGTATTCTGAGCTGAGTTTCTAGACCTGAGGAAACATTTCTGACAAAAAGAAAAAAAAAAAAAGTAAAAACAACCCCACAACAAAACACTCCAAAGCAAGCACTTAAAACAAAATAAAAAAAAAGAACCAACCAACAAAACCCTCTGATTAATCATTATTTTTCAAACAAACAACTTTCTACTAAAAATTCCACTAACTGTGGGACCTGCCATGGGTAAGGCAATGTGTGCAACTCCCCATCACCAACACACACAACACTCAATACTCAGGACACAAACCCTTCCTTCACAACATCCTTAATAATGAGTCAAGTCCTCTGACTGTCATACACAAGACCTGAAATCCAGGACCTTTTCCTAAATAATTAATTTCACCTTACAGCAGACACCTGATCAGGTGAATCCTGTCTTAAAAGTGCCATTGGCAATGGGGATATATCCACACTTCTTGAACTTTCTGAAATGGGGGCTGAACACCAAGGGACTGTGTATCAAAGTGCAAGCTGGTTCATGCAGAACTGTTTGAGGTTTTCTTCTTCCAAAAAAAATCCCTCTACCAGAAATATGCAGCCATGACAAGTTCTCCACAGATAACAGGGATACCTGGAGTGATCCAGTGGAAATAAGACATCATTGCTCATCCTCCTTACCTCTGAAGAAGTGGGTTTGCAGTAGCCAGCTCCAAACACCAGATTTTCTAATGACATACTGGATTGGTCTGGTCCCGCCTCCAGGTTGCCTTTGCCAAGCCAAGAACCTTTCCCTGGACGAGCAAAACTGTAAGAAAAAAATTTAGAAGAAAAACTAATTAGAGGAACAT